CTTAACCTTTTGCTTGTCCTCAAGCAAACCTTAAGTTAGTCTTTGAAAGAAGTTTAAAAACAGCAGGGACTCAATCAAAATCTCAACTTTAAAATCATCACCTCTTACTTTGTTGCAAGCCACATCTCATATCTATCAACTACAGAAGTACATTATACCATATCCTAGCTTAGCAACCAAATACATCTAGCCAATCAACCTAAACATTCCTGTATGTCTATCCCCTCTACTGATTTCATTTATGCATAAAAATAAAGGTGTAGGCTTTACCTTGGGAGTATCGATCAAAGAACACATGGATTCAACTCTAACAAGTTTCAGGCATTCTCATCATGGTTCCCTTTCTCTCTTTATCCCCCTTCTCTGAATGCCAACTCTTTCTTTTTTTTTTCTTTTTTTTATATATATATATATATCAATCCCAATGAACAACTAATGTTCATCTTATTGATCTTTCTACTCTTGACAAATTGTAAGCGAATAGTGGGGTCATAGGTAATGTACCTCTCCCTCGCTTTGATCATTCCTTTGATTTAGAATAGTGGGGTCATAGGTAATGTACCTCTCCTTCTGCCTCTCAGGAAATCATCTCAGTCTTTTTCTCTTTGTGGAATGCCGAAGGGAGGAGAGAAAGAAACCAAAATTTTTGAGACTTTTACCTTCCAGACTTGCAGGAGGATTCCGATCCATTGTATACCAAGCCCCAAGACAAGCAAATAGATGTCAGGTTAGGTTGAAAATCAGCTTTGGTTCTTCCAAACAATCATGAAAAGTGTTGTCATAGGTGATCGGTGATCCACTTTAGCATCTATAGTACTTTCTACAATCAACAAATCTAAGAATGGTGCTAAAGAGTGGTAAGATAAAAAAGTAAGACTTTGAAATTTTTTCCCTTTTTTGACTCAATAAAACCAATTTTTGAAAACTTTATAAATAAGATCAAAAAGAGGTAAAGTAGCATCAGTAATCATCTCCCCCAGACTTAAACCATATACTGTCCTCAGTGTATAATCAGTCGGAGTTAGACCATAAAAACGATAATTGTGTAACTGATATCGAAATTATGAACGATATACCTGACCGATATGGATATCGATCGATGGTGAGTCGCCATCGTCGATCAATGCGTGTATATATGTGTCGAACGATATCGACTTGTATCGGTCGATAGGTATTCCTCGTGTATCTATCTTCCTAAAAACAAATAAAAATGAAAGTAATAAGTAAAAATAAAATGAAATAAAGTAATAAAATACCTAACAGTGGGTTGCCTCCCACTCAGCGCTTGGTTAAAGTCAGTTAGCTTGACTATGGAGTTATGGTGGCTAGTGAGGTGGGTTGCAGGTACTTGTTGGCAAACAAGTATCCTCCTTGTCTTGTGATTCTTCAAACCAGGAAGTTAAAAAACTTCTTGTGGCTTTCTCGCTTCTGGCCATACTAGTCTTCAAACCATAAATTTCAGTTTGGATCCTTTCCAACCACTCCTCTAGGCTTGCAATGCTATACTGATGACGGCCAAGCATGTTGTAGATGTGGTCTTCATTCAGCATCGTGGTGTCGTGGTGTGTTGGATCATTGGTCGATTCTGGAGGTTTCATATCGGTCGATGGTTGTGGAATGTCATCGATCGATGGGGATGGGTCAGGTCGGCTGGCGAGCTGTCTTTGGATGTCTTCTACCTCCTTCTGAATCTCTTATGTTCTAAGTTCCAAACTTCGAACATCGCTCTGTACTGGGAACCAATACTTGTCTAGTAATCTATAATCTTCGTCTCCACAAGCCTCAATGGATTTGTAGATCTCTGCTGTGGTTTCTTCAAGGTCTTCCCTTGTACAGAACTCTGGTTCTCGGGTATCGATTGATGGTGTGGGTTTGTCATCGATCGATAGCTTCTGTAAGTGGTGCTCGATCGGGTTGTTGACGGGTGTATCGATTGATGCAGGGGGGTTTGTATCGGTCGATGCATGTGTCTGAGATCTCAGTTGTGCACGGAAAGTGTTGACTTCTTCTTGTAGGGCTTCTCTTTCATGTCGTGCTAAGTCATTGCTAGTGGTATTCCATAGCAGTTCACCTCTAAGTCGTGATAGGTCTTTCTCATGTTCAAGTCTCATTCCTGTTATCTCGGTTCTTCCATCTAGCATGTAAGTGACTTCTGCCTGTGTGTGAGCTTGCCATCTTGAACTCCTTTAGCATATTGGTCAACATACTCTGGTAGACAGAAACAAGAGCGTCCAAATAATGAGGCCCTCTTCAGCAATTTTCCCATGTCTTCTTTGGAAACATGGATGATATCTCTGTTTACTGCTCTTACATAGCCAGATTCATCTCTGTAGACTCCATATTCATCTTTCTTTTCCCAAAAGAAACGACGAACTCCGTTGTTGAAGGCTCTCTTTCCATATTCTCGGTGTATATGGTTCGATGCGAGTCTCCATGTATCGGTCGATGGCCGTTTTGTTTGGTGTGGATCGTTCTCGATGATTGGTCTGTTGGTCATCTGAAGGATGTCTGCAACATCTTCTGTGGAGATTGGAATGATTCTCCCATCTATTGCTCGTGCATGACTATCTGAATCCCTGAAAATACCATACTCATCCGGAATTAGTGAATTTAAATCAAAAGTAGGTGTTTGTACCTCGGATGGTGTTGTGGCAGGATTAGTTGGTGGTCTGAGATTGATATCGATAGATGGAGAGTGGTCCATATCGGTCGATAGGACTGCATCGGGTTGGATCGCGGGCTGGAGTGGTGCTGTATCCACTGCAAAACTTTCGTGATAGCTGCTTGCCCAACTTCCAATCGAGTAATCTCTGTCGTGTGGCTCATGTGGGGCATGAACAGGTGCATATTAGGTGTCACTCGTGAGTTCGAAACGTCGTTTGAGCGATCTGGGATAGGGCATATCGATCGATGGACTTATGGTCATATCGGTCGATGCTCATCGGAGGAAGGTCGGGATAGGAGAGTGTTCTGCATCTTCTCGAAGAAATCGGTACTCGGTGGCTTGTTCCTCCTCATAATCTTCATCATACTCCTCCTAAGTAGTGATACTAGCTAGCTTTGGCATGTAATGATCGTTTTCCCACTCATCTATGCTGA